AAAAACCACGCAAACGTAAAACTTCTTGAATTCAAGCATTTTTTGAGAAAACTGCCATCATTTCCTGATCGATACTTCACTTTCCAAAACCCAGTTCAAAAGGAAAACGCAATGTTTATGGAATGCAATAAAAAAAGGCACACTGGCTGCTGTTTGTAACTTCAAATTAAATAAACGAAACCCACATTTGAGCAGTTTCAGGCCCCATAAACTGCGCAAAAACAAAAATCCTCTCATTTTTAAATGAACTTTATTCGCATATATTCACTATTCACATTCTGCCTGCATTATTCCAACTCGAAAAAGCGGTTCCACTGGTCCTTGATGATTCTTCCCGATACATCATGGACCCAAAACTTCAAATAGTCCCTCGAATAACTCAAACAGGGCGATGCCATTTTGAGGATCCTCCCCAGGCTATCCAGAATCGCATTAACTGCGCCCGAGTTGAGCATATCGACTAAGAAGGCCATGTCCCGTTTCTTGCGGTAGATTTTTGCGGGATTTTTGTAGTTATCGGCGATTTTTTGCAGCCACGGGAAGAACGAGGATATGTTGAAGAGTTTCCGATCGATGCCGACCAGTTCGCTAATTACGTATTTGCATGATGCGTCCGAAACGTCGATTTTCTTTACTTTGTACTCGTTGAGTTTAGGGCTTATGTGAGCTGAAACTGAACAGCCGCCTATTTTTTCGAACAGTTCAACCTAAAAAGCGACTTACCAGAGCACAATATGGCGAAAACACAGCACTGGAATAGAAGCATTTCAGATTATCGCAGCTTTTTTGATGGGTTGTGTTTTGTACCCTGCCTGTGCTGCTTTAATGAGTAGTAAGTAACACTGGCTTAGAAATGTATTCATCAGTTTACGGTTAATAAAATCTGTACCAGAGTAGTTAAGCAATATTAAAAAAAAATAAATGCGCGTCGAAAAGCTTTTTAAATAACTTTTGAGCGAAGTTGATGGTATTTGGTGGCAATTAATGGTAGACATTTTCGGCAGATTTTAAGCAGTAGAGTATAAATGAGCAAATATGTGACGTAAATGTAAATGCCATGTAAATCAAAGGCATTTCCGGTCGTTAGAAAAAGTAGGAGGAGCCTAAGGCAAGTGTGATTGTGGGCGGAGTTAGAACAGGAAGTAGCGTTCTAATTGGCCGGTGTGTGTTCTGTCTCTTTTTGTTGCTGTTGTCAAAAAGATGACGTAATATTTTTGCAGTAAATTAATTGTGGTGTATGGGGTTCGAACCCGGTTCCTCGCGATCTACAATTCGAGCGCTTCGAAGGCTTTTTGTGTGCATCATTGCCACATGTACGCAAATTTCCCGCTAATGTAGGAAAAATGGGGAAATTTAAGGATTTCAGTTAGGTAATAGCGTTGTTGTTGTTGTTGATATTGATTGATTGGTGAATGCGAAATAATAAAATTCAAGATATTAATATTGTTTGTTTTCCTTTTTATTTGACAGTATATATATATATACAGTAAAGTCCGCTTATAATGAACCCGGTGTACTCAAAAAAGACAATAAAACGTTCCCATAAGTGGCGGTGTTTTGCAAGAAAGTGCTACTGAAATGGGGAGTAAAATCAAAAACAAAGAGCTTGCTTGTTCTAAAAGTTGGGAAGAGCGTTTCAAGAAGAGGCATAATATCAGTAGCGGAAAAATTGTTGGAGAGTCTGCCGGTGAAAAATTCTTC